GCCTTCTGTTGGCTCCCAGAACCCCACTTTTTCAATTGTTTTTTTCACAGGTTTTTCCCGGATGACACGTGTGTTGTTTTTGTGAAGCTGAACGGCCTGATGTTGCATCCTAGAACCCCATTTTACAAGTGGTTTTTGTCACACAGTTTCGGGGCTCACACGTGTGACCCGTTGTTTTTGGGAACCTAAGTGGCTTCATGCTGGCTCCCAGAATTCCAGTTTTACAATCGGTTCTTGTCTCACGTTTTCGGAGGTGACTCGTGTCACCCGTTATTTTTGTAAGGCTGAAATGGCTTTATGTTGCCTCCCATAATCCCAACGTCACAATTGGGTTTGGTCACACGCCTTCGGGGTGACACGTGTCACCCGTTGTTTTTGTGAGGCTGAATGGCCTGATGTTGGTTTTCCCTGAATTCCAACTTTACAAATGGGTTTTGTCACACGGTTTCTGGGGTGAGACGTGTCACCCGTTATTTTTACAAGATTGAACGGTCTCATGTTGCCTCCCAGGATCCCAAATTTTACATTTGGGTTTTGCCAAACGGTTTCGGGGGTGGCACGTGTCACCCGTTGTTTTTGTGAAGTTGAACGGGCTTATGTTCGATCCCAAAATCCCAATTTTACAATTGTTTCCTCTCACACGGTTTCGGGGGTGACACGTATCACCTGTTGTCTCTATGAGGTTGAGTAGCCTTATGTTGGCTCCCGGGATCCCAACTTCACAGTTGCTTTTTGTCACGGTTTCGGGGGTGACACGTGTGATGCGTTGTTTTTGTGAAGTTCAATGGCCTTATTTTGGCTCCCAGAGTCCCAACTTTACAATTGGGTGTTGTCTCATAGTTTCGGTGGTGACACGTATCACCCGTTGTTCTTGTGAAGTTGAAAGGCCTTATGTTGGCTCCCAGAATTCCAATTTGTCAGTTGGTTTCTGGCACACGGTTTCCGGGGTGGCATATGCCTTTTTTTGCTCGTGTGAACCTGAATGGCCCCATGTTAACTCCCAGAATCCCTAAGTCACAATTGTTTTTTGTTATAATATGTTTCGGGGGTGACACGCGTGACCCGTTGTTTTCATGAAGCTGGATGGCCTTATGCTACTTCCCAGAATCCCAACTTTACAATAGGGTGTTGTGACACGGTTTCGGGGTGACATGTGCCACCTGTTGTTGTGAAGTTGAATGGCCTTCTGGTGGCTCCCAGAACCTCAATTTCACATTTGGTGCCTTTCAAAGTCCTTTTCGGGGGTGACGCGTGTCACTCGTTGTTTCTGTAAGGTTGAACCGCCTGATGTTGCCTCCCATAATCCAGTTGGTTTTTGTCATACTGTTTCGGGGATGACACATGTCACCCGTTGTTTTTGTGAATATGGAGGGTTTCATGCTGGCTGCCAGGATCCCAACTTTGCAATTATTTTTGTCTCACACGATTTCGGGGTTTTTATTTTTATAATAAATAATTTAATTAAAATAAAAAAAAAAAAACAAAAAAAAAATTAAAAAGAATTAAGAATATAATTATTACTATATTATTTTTAATTAAATTCATAAAATAGAATTTTTAATATAAAAAATAATATATATATAATTTTTATTAATCCTAATCATTAAAACATATCATATATAATTATACTAACTCTCCATAAAAACTCATAAATATATATTTTAATAAAAAAAACCCCATAAATTATTACTACTCAAGAAAATACACATTAAAAAAGAATAAATTAATAATATTAAATAATTATTAAATATTTCCTTATATATATATATTTAATATAATAATAAAAAATTTATAATGTATAAAAGATAAATTATATTTTTTAATTATAAGTATTTTTTTTTATTTAGTTCTGTTTTTTGTTTCATTTCTTTTTAATATTTTAGCCCCCAACCTTATACCTCCCCCCTCTCCCCCCCCCCCCCACCATACTCCATCATCAACCCCCCCCCCCCCCCCCCCCCCCCTAAAATCCGCGCTTGTGTGTCGGCCCCTGTGTGCACTCATTCACGTTGTTTTCTAGTTTTCCTAATCACACTCACCATACCGTGCCCTCACACATACCACACCCCACACTTCACAAATGGTTTTCTTCTAAGCGCCTGTGCAACACAGCAGGAGACTCACAAGGGGTGACATGTTGTCACCCGTTGTTGTTGTTGTTGTTGTGTTGTTGTTGGTGTTGTCGTTGTTGTTGTTGTTGTACTTGTTGCTGTTGTTGTTGTTGTTGTTGTTGTTGTTGTTGTTGTTGTGAGGCTGAGTCGCTTCATGTTGATTTCCAGAACCCCACACTTTACATGTGGATTTTGACACACGGTTTCGGAAGTGACATGTGTCACCCGTTGTTCTTGTGAGGTTGAATCGTTTTATGTTGCCTCGCAGGATCCCAAACTTTACATTCGGGTTTTGTCACACGGTTTCTGGGGTGACACGTGCCACCCGTTGTTCTTGTGAAGTTGAATGGCCTCATGTTGGTTTCCAGAATCCCAACTTCACAATAAAGTTTCGTAACACGGTTTCGTGCGTGACACGTGCCACCCGTTGTTTTTGTGAAGGTGAATGGCCTTTTATGTTGGCTCACGGAATCTCAATTGTACAATTGGTTTTCTCACACGGTTTCTGGGGTGACACGGGTGATCCGTTGTGTTTGTGAGACTTGATGGCATCATGTTGGCCCCCAGAATCCCAATACTACAATTTGGTTTTCTCACACGGTTTCTAGGGTGACACGTGTGACCCGTTGTTTTTGTGAAGTTGAAAGGTTGTATGTTGGCTCCCAGAATCCCAAACTCTACACTTGGGTTTTATCACACGGTTTCGGTGATTACACGTGCCATTTGTTTTTGTGAATTTGAATGGTTTCATGTTGGCTTCCAGAATCTAAATTGTACAAGCGGTTCTTGTCATACGGTTTCGGGGGTTCCATGTGTCACCCGTCGTTTTTGCGAGGTTGAACGGTCTCATGTTGGCCGCCAGAATCCCAACGTTGCAGTTATGTTTTCTCACACGGTTTCGGGGGTGACACGTGTCACCCGGTGCTTATGTGAGGCTGAATGGCGGTATGTTGGCTCCCAGAATCCCAGCTTTACATTTGTTGTTCTCAGACGGTTTCGGGGGTGACATGTGTCACCCGTTGTTGTTGTGAGGCTGAGTAGTTTTATGTTGCTTCCCAGAATCTCACACTTTACATGTGCGTTTTGTCACACGGTTCCGGGGGTGTCACGTGTCACGCGCTGTTTTTGTGAGGTTGAATGGCCGTATGTTGGCTTCCAGAACCTCAATTTTACACTTGTTTTTTTTTCTCAGGCGGTTTCGGGGGTTACATGTGTCACACGTTGTTTTTGTGAGGTTGAGTCGCTTGATGATGCCTCTCAGAATCCCAACCTTTACAGTTTGGCTTTCTCATACCGTTTCGGGGGAAACGCGTGTGACCCGTTTTTTGTGTGAGGCTGATTGGCGGTATGTTGGCTCCCAGAATCCCAACTTTACAAGTGAGTTTTGTCACACCGTTTCCGGGGTGAAACGTGCCACCCGTTGTTCTTGTGAAGTTGAATGGCCTTATGTTAGCCCCCCGAACCCCAATTTTACACATAGACTCCAGGGCCCCAGAACATTGGGGCCCTAGACTACAGGGCCATAGAGTCCTAGGCCGTAGGTTACAGGGCCCCAGACTCTTGGGCCTAGAATCTTGGGCCTGAGATTGTAACGTCCCAGGCTCCAATGACCTGGATTCCTGGGCCCTAGACTCCAGGGCATCAGACTCCTGGGACCTAGACTCCAAGGCCCCAGACCCCTGGGCCCTGGACTCCTTTAGACCCCAGGGTCCTATCCTCCTCGCCCCTCGCCTTGGCCCTGGCTATGTAGCCCTTGCCGAAGCCCTAGTTCGATTTTTCGTTATGTTGTTTTTCTCGTGCGTTTTCGCGTAAGCCTCAAACGGGACCTCGTGCCTCGCCCTAGCCTTGGCCCTGTAGCCCTCGCCGAAAACCTGGTTCGTTTTTCGGTCCGTTTTTCGTTTGTTTTCGGACGAGCTTCAAACGGGATCTCGACCCTCGCCTTAGCCCTGGCCTTGCGGTCCTCGCCGCAGCTTTGGTAAACTGTTCGCTCGTTTTCGCAGAGGCCTCAAACGGTACCTCGCCCCTCGCCTTAGCCTTGGCCTTGCAGCCCCCGCCACAGCTTTGGTTCTTTTTTCGTTTTGGGTTTCGTTTGTTTCGCGCAAGCCTCAAAAGGGACCTCGCCCCTCGCCCTGGCCCTGGCCTTGTAGCCCTCGCCGCAACCCTGGTTCGTTTTTCGTTTGGTTTTTCGTTTGTTGTCGCACGAGCCTCAAACGATACCTCGCCCCTCGCCTTAGCCCTGGCCCTGTAGCCTTCGCCGCAGCCCTCGTTAGGGTTTCGTTCCGTTTTTGTTCGTTGTTCCGTTTGTTTTCCCACGAGCTTCAAACAGAGCCCCGCCCATCGCCCTAGCCCTGGCTGTGTGGCCTTCGCCGCAGCCCTGATTCGTGTTTCCGTTTCGTTGTCGGTTTATTTCAGTTTGTCTTTTTTGGTTTTTTGTGGTCGGCTTCAGTCAGAATTTCGCCTTCGCGTTTGCCTTGGCAACAACCCCCATTTTCTGCTGCCTCGTCCTCAACGATCTGTCGATGCCATCCTTTCGTATTCCGTTTCGTGTTCAACGAGGTTTGCGGAGTTCGTTTCGTTGTTCGTTTTGTTATCTCGTTGAATGGCGGCAGTGTTTCGTTAACGTTTTTGTGTTGCACAATTTCGTTTTAAACGTTTCGTTGTAAACGTTCGGGTTCGTTTTCGTTTCCGACCTAAACGACAACGCGTTTCAAACATCGTCGTAGCCGATCTTTGTCATCATCATCAGCAGCATCATCATCATCATCACATCATCATCAGCATCATCATCATCATCATCACCATCATCATCATCAGCATCATCGTCACCATTGCCATCATCGTCACCACCGTCGTCCCCCCTTCCTCTGGACATCCTCTTGGACACCCTCCCGTCCCTGCCTCCCCCTGGACCTTCTGCCGCCGTGTCGCCCTTTGAACGACGCGGCAGCTCGGCCACGGAGGCCGGCGCCCCCGGTCACGGTCGCGGAACCAAGCCAGTCCTCGAGGACTTGCGCGGGACATTGCCGGCTGCCATGGTCGGCCGGCCAGCCCGACGTGCCACGGGGGCGGGGGGCGCGGAGCAGCGGCCGGGGCTGCCCGGGGCGGCGTCGGGGCAGCACCATCGGAGGTGTCTCTCCTTCGCCCACTCCTGTTCCTCTTACCTCCACCCCCGCCTGCGACTCCTCTTCCTCCTCTTCCTCTTCCTCTTCCTCCTCCTCTTCCTCCTCCTCTTTCTTCTTGGGCACGCTCCGCCTCCGCCTCCTCCTCTTCCTCCTCCGCCTCCTCCTCGTCCTCCCTTCTCCTCCTTGTTTGACGTTGGGGGAACTCCTTTTTCTTCTCCTCATCCTCCTCCTTCTTTTTCTCCTCCTCCTACTCCTTCTCCTCCTCCCCGTCCGCCTCCTCTTCCTCGGCCTCCCCCATTGGGGGCCTATGAGGAAGGAATCTTGTGACGAGAGGGTGTATGCATTGGTGATGCATATTGGGTTTCAACTACTTGCGCTGGACGAATGATTTTCCTCTTGATGTGCAAATGGCGATGATGAGTTGGAAGTGAATGACCGAATGCCCTTCCCCCGTAGAATCTTAACACGGGCGAGTCCCGGGGTCCGCGGATCCGATCTCCTCTGGTTCCCCGCTGTACTTGAATATTCTGAATTTAAAGGGGTAAAATTCGGAGCCGCCGTAAAAAATAAAACCGAACACGGATCCAGCAGATCCGAAATCGGATCCGCGCGGACGGAAATCGGATCCACCGAAACAAACACCCAAGCCACATTTGGATCCGCGCGAACTTCATGGGATCCGACGGCGGTTATCTCATACGCGTTTTCTCAAGACTTCAAGCCGTCGTTCTGGGCACAAGAAGAAAAAACTCCGTCCTGGGGATGTAATCCTCCTCCTCCTCCTCCTCCTCCTCCTCCTCCTCCTCCTCTTGCCTTCTGCCTGCCTTGGGGGATGAGTCCATTGGTGTACCCCGCTGGAAAAAGAAAGGGTACTGGGCCACCTCCACCTGATGTGTCACCTCAGGAACCAGGGGCGCCATCTGGAACCTGAGGCCGCGACAGGAGATGGCCTAGCCTTCTCTCTGATCAAAGAGGCCACGCCTTCAGATCAGGAGGAAGCTTCCCTGACAGCAGGGCCGACCCCACCCTCCGCCCATGCTCTGTGAGGCCTGGAGCGCAGGTTCTCCCGAACTTCAGCAGCTCGCCTCGCGAGGGGCCCCCTGAGCCCCCACGGAGCTGGCGCCGGTAGAAGCCCCCTATAAGCTTACAGCTTACGAGACGGGTGGATGGTGGCAGGGCGGCCTGTGCAGGTCGATCGGCTGAAAGTCTCTACCTGTCCTCCACCTGCCTGACAACAAGCAGTGCAGCGCCAGGAACCTCGGGCCTTCTGCTCGAGCTGGGCCAGCCGAGCCTCTTTTCCCTGGCGCGAAAGAGCAAGGGTGGCCTTGGCTTCCTCCTGCCGATTGCCCTTGGACGCAGCTCCATTCAGGGTCGGGGCTTGCTGCTCAAGGGCCATCGAAACCGCCAGGAGGGAATCTAAAACTCTGCTGCAAATAGTGTCAGCTTCTGCGACCTGTCACATGGCGTGGAAGGGAGCCTCGGCAAGCTTGGCCCCTTCTTCCGCCGCCTTGTCCGCCAGGCGACTCGCCTGCCAGTGGGCTGAGTCCAAACCGAGGGTGTCAGCATCTTCTAGCGACAGGCGCGACCGAATTTTATGGACCACGATGGACCTGACTCTGACTGCAAACCAAACATCGCGCCACATCGAGACCATTTGCCTGTGGTTGAAGCGGGGTCCAGCTCGGATGCCTCTGACTACCCCGTCACTGTCTATCACGCAGACTATCGGGCCAGAGGTGAGCTGGACCGCACGGGTAATCGCAAACAGTTCTGCCGCTGGGACCGTCCGGGTGTCACTGGGGAGGGGGCCCAGCCCCCGGGCCAGGTGCTGAGCTCCTCCTAGGATCGCGAAGCCCCAGCCACACCGTCTCAAACGAGGGTCAGAGCCCTTTTCTCCCCCGCCCCCACCGGACCCACTCACACACTCTAAGTTCACCTCGGAAGGGCCTCCTGAAAATTAGACGAGAGCTTTCCCCCCCTGGATCGGGAGACAAACATATTGCTATGTCCGATCCAAGGCCGGGAGGCCTCTGAGCCAGAAGGAAGGTGCATCTGCTGCCTCAGCCTCAGCTCTCACACGGAGGGAGGCGTCAGATCCTGGGATCGAATCATGAAGCGGGCACATAGCTGGTGGAGGAGGGTCTCCTGGGGGGCCCGCATCGAGGGCAGGAGGGAGCAGACCAGACTGGATTAGGTCCTGAGATGGGCTCCTCGTCACTGAGCCCAGAAGTGCATGCCGTCCCCTGGCAGATCTCCTTCTGCTCTCGCGCTGCGTCTGCGAGCAGCGCAGCGGCATCAAGCTCCCCCTCGTCAGCGCCTGGCTGCGGGGCTGGGCGGGGGGTGGCCGGAGGGGAGGGGGCGCTCGGGAGGGAGCGGTGGGGGGAGGAGGCTCCAGATCCTGGGATCTCCTCCTCCTCCTCCTCCCCCTCCTCCCCCCTCCTCCCCCTCCTCCCCCTCCCCCTCCTCCTCCTCCTCCTCCTCCTCCTCTTCCTCCTCCTCCTCCTCCTCCTCCTCCTCCTCCTCCTCCTCCTCCTCATCCCTCCTGGGGAAACATCTCCGGGCCTCATCCCCAGAACGCCTGGAAGCTGGCCAGAGGCCTCCTGGCAAGACACCTCAGGAGCCCCGGCCTTCTCGAAAGCCCCCGCAGCCCTTGGCTGGTTCAACCCTGCGAGCGGAACAAACATGTCCGCTCAGCCCGCTAGGCGGCTGCCGTGGTGGTGTTCGCTGGCTTTCTTCCAGGCTAAAGCATCGAACGCCTTTAGAAGGTCAAGCATGAGGTGTTCTGGGTCACAGGCTAGAGCTTGGGACACCTCGCCATCCGTGCCTGTCCAGACAGTGGGCTCCTGTGGGTTCCAGCCCGCCTCCAACAGACACGCGACTGTGGCTGCAACGAAACTTTCGACTCTCTGCAAGCGCGCGGCTGGATCCTGCAGCTTGGCGACAGCTTGTCCCAAAGCTAGGCGGGGACCATGCTGATTGGCTTCCTGCAGGCTGGGGGGGGGCATATGAATCCTCTCCTTGAAAACACGGATGCGCGTGGAAATCATGGGGTCATGGTGGAGATCCTGAAACGCACAACGCAAAACCGTCGTAGCACAACCACCCTCTCTCCTCCCCACCATGCCTGCCATGGACGCCCTGGTCTTCAAGGCCCTTGGGTTTCGAGTCCCCAAAGAGCCTGCGTTGACTTTAGGCTCGGGGAGGCTCGGGTCAGGGAACCATAATCATGACAGAAGGGGACGCCCGCGCGCGCTCGCAGGGACTGCGCGCATCAGAGCGCGCAGTTGGATCGTGCGAGCAAAGCGCGTTGGCGACAGCGGTTGCTGGTGGGTTGTTTCTTGCTTGTGTGCTGCTTGATGGCCGGGCAGCGCGGAGAGCTCTTCATCGAAGAGTTCTTAGATTGGAGGGTCGATTCCTCCGAGCGCGAGTCCCTTTCTGCGCTCGTGCAGAGAGAGGGACTGGAGTCGGCTGGCGATTTAGCGCATTTGTTTTGCTCGACGGACGAGGCGGAGCAGTGTGGAGTGCCCACGGCCTGGGCCGTGGCTCGGGACGTGGCGCGGGTGACGCCGCGGCTGGTGCCCGCGCATGGCATTTGCGCGGAGGGGCGATTTGGCGGCGCGGCGGCGGCCGCCGCGCCCGCCGTGAGCGCGGGGGCCGCGGCGGGGAAAGGGCGTGGGCCTACCGCCGCGCGCCGCGGTCGGCCAAGACGCTGTGCCGCAGTGGCGACGGAGGCGGCAGAGCGTGAGGGGCGCGTTCAGCTGGCGGTCAGCGCAGTTCGAGTGTCGCTTGAATGGCGCCCGGAAAGCGGCCTCGGGCAGGGGTTGCAGGAGGCGCAGGCCGAGATGCTCGCCGACGTCTCGTCCGCGGCAGTGTTTAGGCTGAGTAATTTCGAATCCGGGACGCTGCGCACGGCCTTGCGCGTGGGGGGGCAGTGGGCCGAGTGGGCGGGCCGGCAAGGGCAGCCGGCGACGAGTCTGGCGCGGCAACCCATGGCAGTCGCCGAGTTCGTGCATAAGCTCTCGATCGCACGGACGTCCGGCGTCAGGATCTGGAACGCCTTGAAGTGGATGTGCGTACATTTGAAAGCGCCTTTCTGCCTGGACGATACGTTTCGCCCTGTGCCACGTGATCCAGGCAGTGGAACCGTTGCACCGCCGGCCCAGGCCACTGTCGTCGAACCCGAGATGATTTACCATGTGATCGATTTCCTGGATGGCGCGAGAACGCCTGGGCAAGTCATGCTCGCGGCTGGGATGCTGGCGGTGGTATTCGCGTGGGTGAGGTACACGCACCTGCTGCGCTCTAGGCCTTTAGAGAAGTCTGTTTCTTTTTGCTGGTTCCGCGCATCGAGGGGGAAGCAGGGAAAGCGACAGGGGCGACCTTCGTTCGATTGGTGCGTGCCGAGGCGGCTAGGTGGCGCGCGGTCCGCCGCTGACGCCTTGTGGGATGGTTGGCACAAGTTGGCGGCGCGGGAAGATCGAGCAGGAAGGGCTGTGCCGACGGGGCTCGTCTTCGATCCAGTTTCCGGCGCGCCGGTGAAATTGGGTGCCTTTAACCGATCGCTGAAGGAAGTATTCCGAGGCTCGCTAGCGGACGATTCCCAGTTGGATCTTGTGACTTCGTACAGTTTGCGCCGGGCTGGGCCTACATGGGCGAGCGCGATGCAATTGGACTGGGAAGCCCGAGTCATCTCGGGCGGTTGGACGGAGGGGGGAGACAACTCCCGTCGGAACCAGATGCCGATCGTGTATAATGCGCGTCGGCGGCAAGCCGAGATGTGCACGCGCCTGCACATGGCCGGAGTGTTGTCGTGCCTGCGGACCGATCTGGAGGCCCCAGTGCAGCGGGGGCAAGTGCGATGCTGGGCGAGTTCTGCGCCAGGAAAAGTAATGTTGGCCGACCTAG